CATATCCGCGCCGCGTTCGAGGCGGCCGCAAGCCGCAGACCGTCGTGCGCTTTTCATCGCGCACACGCGCATTCATTATCCGTGCGCATACACGCGCACGACTGACCGAACGTTGCGCGTAACGCGTAACCGTATTCACGGTCGCGCCAGGCAAATGTGCGTATGTGCGTATGTGCGCGCGCGAAGGGGGAGTCGGGACGAGCGTGGGGGAGTCACTTTGAGAGAGTACGCGGAACGACCGTAAACACAATTGGAAATCTTTAGCGGATACACTCCTGGTAACGGTCGCAGAAGGGTGACGAGTCACGGGAGCGATGGCGTGAGCGAGGAGATTTATTTTGTCGTGGGAACCCCTTTCTTGAGGGGGCACGCAGCGATCGTGTACGCAACACACGTGTATGCAACGTGGAAAAAAAAGTACGGTCTTTTAAATACAGCGGGCCCGCATCGACGACAGCGATTTGTATTCCTTGACGAAATTCACGTTTTTTTTTTTTTTTTTCGTATGGTATTTAAGCTGTTAACCCTATTCAATTTTTGATTTTTTGACACTTCTATATTTTACATTTTCCGTTTAGAGGAATTTTGTATAATCTTTGTACGTTATCATTTTCTTTTCATTACTTCTTATATTTTTTTATATTTACTTATAAATTAAAAAATTTACGTTTTTTTCCTCTATACCGCGTGTGCACTTCGAGATTCTCGAAATTTCCGCGCGCCGAGGAGACTGCTGGTAAGGCCCATATTCTCAACTCTCTTTCAGCGATAAAAGCGCGCTTTTATTTCTGAGATGCTATAGTATATGTAACACGAACTATAGCATTTCACAAATAAATGCGCGCTTTTATCGATAAAAGAGAGTTGAGAATATGGGCCTAATGACCGTTTTCACCAACGTCGTTTAACTTTAACCTTAGTTCAACTCATTCTTCGTCTCTTTCAAAAGGGGACTGTTAGAAAGAGACAAAAGAGTGAGTCAAACTAAGGTTTAGTTAGGGGATCCTGGAGTGACGGCCGAATTCCGACGGGGTCGATAATTTTGACCGTTTTCTATGTTCCGGCCTATATCTGTTCTTATCTAACGAGATATTTGCGATCTGTCCTTGTCAGATTGCAACGCCATGTACACTGCGTGTGTGTGCATACATAAAATCAGTTGGATGAAAAATCTTTCTTATTGGGCTTTCAATCTTAGTTTCAATGGTGCCACGCTGTTCTTTGATCTAGTCCGAGGTGCGGGACATTTTCGATTTGTACACGTAAGCTATATAATTTGTATAATATATAAGCGAACGTTTCCTTGAAGTGACAGCTCTAGGTACAAAAGGTGCAATACCAACTAGTATTAAATATATTTTTCTTAAGTTTTTAGTCTTAAACTTACTATCCCGCACATGATTTCTGTACGTACTATTCTGTAAAGCAAATTCGAAGAAAATCGGTCCAACTGAA